AACCATTTTGATGGTACAGGATATTTGGGAATCACTTGGGTACAGCATCTCACTAATGAAACCAAGACCTGGGGTTTCATCCCTCTGCACCAGCCACTCCTCGGAAGGAAGGTTAGGCAATCTACTTCCATAGTGATACTGCCTCAGAAACTCAAGGAGGGGTCACCATGAGTTGGGTCCAACTCGACAGCACATAACAACAACAACAGTAAGGGAGCTCTGGTGGCATAGAGTCTAAATCATTTGACTGCTAACCAGAAGGCTGGAGGTTCAAACCCACCAGCCACTCCTCAGAAGGAAGGTTGGACAATCTACTTCCATAGTGATACTGCCTCGGAAACCCAAGGAGGGGTTGCTATGAGTCAGGTTCAACTTGATGGCACTTAACAACAACAACAACAGAGACCAGTACATACCATTGGATACAAGCCACTCACAGTCTGGGCTGAGAGGGGGGACAAATCACATAGGGGACTGTGGCTACAGTCTTAGCCAGTAGCTTTAAATCAGACCCATCAACCAGGGCTTTGACATTTGCTCTCCATGGGACTTTGCTTCCACACATCCCCTGGCTCTTACCCATCCTGTACTGGTAAAAATGCTTTACAACTAGCCCTCTGGGGGGAAATATATGCATATGTGCCAGTAAAATTCACAACACCACTTAAAATTAAAATTAATTAATTTTAAAATTAATTTTAATTTTTAAAAGACATTAAAATTTTTATTGATGTTCTATAAACTTCTAGAAATAACATTATTTTTAAAGCTAAAACACATTGCTTTTTCATTTACACCTAAAACTTCAGTGTGACTTGTTATTTCTTGCAAAATCTGCTATCAGTTTTTGTAATCTGCTGGTGCAATGGTTAAACACTTGGCCACTAACCAAAATGTTATAGGTTCAAACCCACCCAGAGGCTCTGAAGCAGAAAAGACCATAAATATTACAGCCCCAAAAACTGTATGGGGCAGTTCTACTCTGTCATATTGGGTTGCTATGAGTAGGAATAAGGAGCTCTGGTGGTACAGTGCCTAAGACATTTGCCTGCTAACCAGAAGATTGGCAGTTCAAACCTACCAGCCACTTTGTGGAAGGGAAATAGGGCAATCAGCTTCTACAAAGATATACCATCTTGGAAACCCAATAGGGGCTGCTATGAGCCAGAATCTACTCAATGGCAGTGAGTTTGGTTTGGTATTTTTTGGTGTGGTAGGAATTGACTTAAAAATACCCAACAATAACATCAATAATAATGATACAAAATAAGACTATATATATATATATATATATATATATGTATATGTATATTTATATGTGTGCATCATATATATACATAAATGTGATTACTAATACCTAATGAGGAGCTCTGGTAGCATAGTGCCTAAGGCACTTGACTGCTAACCAGAAGGCTGGCGGTTCAAACCCACCAGCCACTCCTCGGAAGGAAGGTTGGACAATCTACTTCCGTAGTGATACTGCCTCAGAAACCCAAGGAGAGGTCACTATGAGTTGGGTCCAACTCGATGGCACATAGCAACAACAATAGAGCAAAGAAGTTGCCCACCTCATTGTTGTTGTTAAGTGGCATCAAGTCAGTTCCGACTCATAGTGACACTATGTACAACAGAATGAAACATTGCCCAGACCTGTGCTAGCATCACAATCGTTGCTATGCTTGAGCCCATTGTTGCATTCATCAGTGATGTGAGTGACTTCTTTCCTGAATCAGATGATAGTTTTCAAATACTAGAAGAATATTCTCTTCATTTTTTGTGCTATTCACAAGATAACAGCTATGAATATGACACATTTTTACATTTAATCTGCATTATTAACATTCTCTCCATCCCTTTCTTAAGTCTAGACAAACAAAGAAACAATAAATCAAGCCCTGATGTACAGTGTTTGCTGATTTGTGTAGTATAAGTACTCTTACCATGGTTAATTTCAAGCTACCAACTTGCCATAAGTTCTTGGAGTTGGGAAGAGATGTGCAGTAATACACCATTATATCTTGTTTCTACTGCACAGATACCATAGACGTAAATAAACTCGATAGCATAGAGAATGACCCTCCTCCACCACGTGGTGTGTATCAGAGTAGAATTGTGTCCCATAGGGTTCCAGTGAGTAATTTTTTTGTAAAATAGATCACCAGGACATTCTTACAACATGCCTCTGGGTGGACTTAAATTCCCAATCTTTTGGTTACAAACCAAAAAAACAAACTCACTGCCATCGAGTAGATTCCAACTCATAGCGACCCCTCCTTGGGTTTCCAAGACAGTATCTCTGAGGAAATAGATTGCCCAATCTTCCTTTCGAGGAGTGGCTGGGGGTGTTGAACCACCAGCCTCTGGTTAGCAGTCAAATGCCTTAGGAATCATTTGCATAAATAATGGTAGAATGTAGTGAAATAATAAGGAAGTGATGAGTTTTGGAATTTATTACCATTGTTTTTACATGTAACTTATTGAATTGTAAGTTTACATCATTTTATTTTTAATGATGACTGGGTTTAACACAGTAGATCTCTCTGTGTTTAACCTGCTCACAAAATTCCTGAAAATTTATCAGCTCCTGTGAGCCATTAGGAGAAGGCCCCAGCTCACCTTTGCTCCTGGCCACTCTGTAGAGCTAGATTGCCTGACTCCATTTGTCTTCCAGGAACCCCCCTCTTCTCCCACCCACCCACACAGCCCATATGGCTAGGGCCCCAGCCCCAAAGAGAAAAGAAGAAAATCTGGACTATTGATCACAAAGTAGACTGGGAAGATAATGAGGCTATCACAGAGTGAGCCACATTAACTTTGGGGAAAACAATTCCATTTTCAAGGGCCTTAAGTTGATGGATTGGTGGAGGTGACAGCATTGAATACTGGTTAAGAGCACAGCTCTGGGGTCTGCTTCCTTGGCTTGAATCCAAGTTCTGCCCCTCACTGGCTATATGGCCTTGAGCACAAACTCAATCTCTCTACTCCTTGGCTGTCTCATGTAAAACGATGACAATAATGACACTTGCCTTATAGGGTAGTGAAGATTAAATGAGATAATGAACATAAAGCTGTTAGCACAATTTTGGCACAGAGTAAGTGCTTAATAAGCATTAGTTATTATTAGTTTTCAATTCATAATGGCTTTTACAAACTCATCTGTTGGCTATTACTTTTTATATGTAGAAAATAACATACAGCTAATGTTGCATGCAGTAAGGTTCTAAGTGCTGTCACATGCATAATCTGATGGGAGCTTCACAGTGACCCTGAAAGCAGTCATCATATGATTATCATTTTCCACTTCTGTCATCTGCATTTTATGGGTAGGACCCAGACTCTGAGAGGGTGAATAGGGGCCCATGTCTCTGGCCAATTAGTTAGAGCCCATAGATTCTGTTAAGGTCATTTTGTCACAGCTTCTGGGGTCCCTGGGTGGTGCAAACAATTAATGAACCCTGGCTGCTAACTAAAAGGTTAGAGGTTCAAGTCCACCTGGAGGCATCTCAGAAGAGAGGTCTGGCAATTTCCTTCCAACCATCGGCCATTGAAAACCCTATGGAGCACAGTCACCATGACTCGGAATCAAGTCAACAATTACCTTTTGTTTTGTTTTGTTTTTCACAATCTTTAAGCACCAAGGGTTGGAAGAACTACTATTAGATATGAACATCTTGACTTGAGGTTTCTTACCCAGTTCTTTAGATTAGACTATTTTTGTATAATTCTACATAATGAAGTATTCAGTATAAGATAAAGATGGTAATTCCAGAAAGCCAGTAACTTAGGAGAGGGAGCAGTTTTTTCTCTTAGGCCACTGGCCAGGAGGCTCCCATCAGACTGCATTGAAGAAAATGATCATGAGTTCACCTTTTTCCCCCTCCCCAGCAAAGAGAGGGCGGGACAATGACCTGCTTTCCTTGCACGTTATATGGAGGAATCAGAATCTGTGCATCTTGCTCTGGAGAAAAGGTTCAAATCACAGACTTTCTCCTTATATTTGTAATTGTGCCCAGACTGGCTTTTACAAAGAAGTGAGGGATGATCAGATCAGCAGAGATGAACAAATTTGATAACTCCTTGTTTGAAGAAGATGTGGAGCAATTGGTACTTTCTTACAGTGTTATAAGTTCTCTGAAGGAGCTCTGGTAGCATAGTGCCTAAGGCACTTGACTGCTAACCAGAAGGCTGGCAGTTCAAACCCACCAGCCACTCCTCGGAAGGAAGATGGGGCAATCTGCTTCCATAGCGATACTGCCTCAGAAACCCAAGGAGGGGTCGCTATGAGTCGGGTCCGACTCCACGGCACATAACAACAACAAGTTCTCTGAAGGACCATTTGGCCACTGTTCATCAAAATGACAAATGCAAAATCTGACTCAGCAGTTCCACTCCAGGAATTCACCCCAAAGAAACATTTCCTTGCATGGAAAATGAGGGACACACCAGATTATTCTTTGCATTACTACTGTAATACAGGGAGAGGCAGCGAGACAATCTAGAAGTCCATCAGCAGGGGACTTCTAAGTAAATTCAGTACCACCAGTCAAAGCAATACTATGCAACTGTTAAAAAGAATGCAAAGGTGTTTATATACTGATGTAGTATATGAACATTTCTAAGATGAATTAAGTGATCATAGCAAGGGAGGAATAATTAGATATATTTATCTGTAAATGTATTAAATATTTCTGGAAGTAGGCATCAGAAGGAAACAGGAGAAGTGGCTAATTACGGCACAGGGAAGAAAGGAAACTTTCCATTACATATCCTTTAGGAAATTCTTTGAATATTATTCCATTTGCATGCATTATATGTTCAAAGTAAATAAATGTTGTATACACATTGGTGAGGGGGGCCTGTAGGAAAAGGGATTTACAATCTGACAGATAGGTGTCCCCTGAGTCAGAGGCAGTGGAGTGATGGTTAGAAAGGGTGAGGGGGAAGGTCAGGCTTTAAGCTCTTGAGTCATACCTGGTTATACTGATTCAGACTCTCCACAGCAACAGGCAGGGGTGGCCCGCGTGGCCCAGACTCAGGAAGAGAAGCTGGCCACTGCCCTCAGAGTGGAGTTACACAACATTTCGTGCCAAGTCCAGAGCCTCCAGGCAGAGACGGAATCCTTACAGGCCCTGGTAAGTGAGCCAGGAAGAGTCCTGGCATTTCTAGTGTCAATTTTAACTCTCAGCTGTTGGATTCTAGTCTTATGGGTCATTGTTTGCAAGGTGCCTCAGTTTTTTCATGAGTTTTGAGGCTTAAAATGTCCTCTGACTCCCAAAGATCATCTGATACTGAAGCACAGAAAGTGTAGTAGACATTTTATCAGGTTACTATGAATGTTGGCTTCTAAAGGCCCACAGCTGGCACTCTTCTCCAGAGAATTGCCCTCAGCCAAACAGAAGTCACTTGCCCAGGAAGTTAGGCCCCACCTCCAGTCCTCAGCCAATGATTGATTGACCCAAAATCAAACCCATTACTGTCATGTCTCATAGCAACCCTATAGGACATAGTAGAACCACCCAATAGGTTTTCTAAGGTTGTCAGTCTTTATGGAAGCAGACTGCCTCATCTCTTTCCTGTGGAACGGCTGGTGGGTTCAAACTGCCAACCTTTCGGTTAGCAGCCAAATGCTTTAACCACTGCACCACCAAGTGTTTTCCACTTTGCCTCAAAGTAGAACCAATTCTATGGTATAATTCACACTGCAGAGCTTTCATGGGATCAGGCAGATGTCATACTCCAGCTGAGACCACATCCTTGCTTTGCTCCTTCCCCTGCCCTACCCTGCTTTCCTTGCTTCATCTTTTCCTGAGAACTCTAAGCACAAGCTTAGAGTGGAGTTACACAACATTTCATGCCAAGCAGGAAGGTGTGAAGAAGTTGGTCCATTTAATCTTTGTGCCCCAGAAACTGTCTGGAGTTCACTGAGGTCATCAAACCTAAACCCACTGCCATCAAGTTCTGACTCATAGCGGCCCTCATTGGATTTCCAAGGTGGTAAATCTTTATAGAAGTAAATTGCCCCGTCTTCCTTCTGTGGAGTGGCTGGTGTATTTGAACTGCCAGCCTTCTGGTTTGCAGCCAAATGCCTTAGGCACTGAGCCACTAGCGCTCCTTTCTTGGGACCACACTATCCTTATTTATCATCTTCAAGTCTCAGGGTTACTCAGATATCACAACTGTTGCCCCCTCTCTTCCACCACTCCTCATATATCTTCTTCTCAATTCTGCTGCCTAAATAAGCTCCATGACCAAACTACCAGTCCCACCTCCCACTAGAGCCCATGCCCTTCCATGAAGTTGGCTCAGGTGTTCATTCTAGATAGTTCCCCTCCAAAACAACTTTTTCACTCTCTGTTGTCAACATCATCCCATCATCCCTAAGTCCCCTTCCTTCACTTATTCTACAATTTGGGTAGGGCTCAGCAGGCATACCTCTGCAGGGGCTGGAATGTGCAACGATGGCTTCTTCAACTCACTCGTCTGGTGCTTCAGCTCTGCATCTCTCTCTCTCTCTCTCTCTCTCTCTCTGTCTCCCTCTCTCTCCATGTGTCTTCTCCATTTAGCTTGCTTGGGCTTCCTTGCAGTGTGATGGTCTTACAGTAATTGTGTTTCTTACATAGTGTCTGGCTTCCCTCAAACCATGAGCACAAAAAGCTACCAGACTTCTTAAAACCTGGGCTGAAAAGTTCCTGAGCTTTACTTATACCACATTCTGTTGTTCAAAGCTGTCATAGGACCAGCTCTACGTCAATGAACTGAACCGAACTCATTGCCATCAAGACAGATCTGACTCATAGCAACCCCTCTTTGGGTTTCCAAGGTGGTATCACTACAGAAGTAGGTTGCCCCATCTTCCTTTCAAGGAGTGGCTGGTGGGTTTGAGCCACAGTCAAATGCCTTAGGCACTACATCACCAGAGCTATATCAACAGAAGACAAATAAACTCCACCTCTTAGTGGAGCAAGGAGCTCTAGTGGTATAGTGGTTAAGGCATTTGACTGCTAACCAAAAGGTTGGTAGTTTGAACCCACCAGCTGCTCTGCAGAAGAACATTGAAGCAGTCTGCTTCTGTAAAGATTTACAGCCTTGGAAACCCAATGGAGGTCACTATGAGTCAGAATGGACTCTATGGTAGTGAGTTTGTTTTTTTCAGTCTTGATGGGGCAAGGGTAAGACCACATTGAGGAAGAGCATGTAGGGCAGAGGTAATTGTTGTAGTTGCCTATGGAAATGTGATCTACCACACGATCATAAGAGAATTTGCCTCATAAAGTCATTGGAGTAATTAATAAATTATGCATGTCAAGCCCTTGGCACAGAGACTGACACAGATTGAGCATTCAATAAACAGTATCTATTATAATCTTTAGGAGCTCTGGTGGCATAGTGCCTAAGGGATTTGACTGCTAACCAGAAGGCTGGCAGTTTAAAACCACCAGCCACTCCTCAGAAGGAGAGTTGGGCAATCTACTTCTGTAGTGATCCGCTTCAGAAACCCAAGGAGTGGTTGCTATGAGTTGGATCCAACTCAACAGCAGTGAGTTTTAAGTATTATAATCTTTAATTATATATTTATCTATGTATCTATATATATAAATAGATAATATATAAATCATATTATCTAAAATTATCTCTATATACTTATTATATCTATATATAACTACCATTATAAAATTTTTATGACCGCTAGGATAGTAACCTCAAGTTGGCATCATTAGCCACCTGGTCACCTCACTTAAATTCCAGGAATAATGGTCCTGCTGGAATAGACATAACAAAAATTTACACCCCTTTCAGAAGACTTAGGAATAGTGACATTATAGTGGTGCTTGGGGCCCAGGATGGGCTTCTCTGGTCACTGGGCCTGGCAGCCAAGTCCAAGAGCTGAGAATGAGCCAGAATATGTAGCAAACCCTCCTACAGCTTTCAAACCTGGCAGAGTTTATCCATCCATTCTTGTCTCCTCAGTCAGAGCAACCTGTGCACACACAGACCCCCACAGCTTATATAAGCCCCAGGTAGCTGAGCTGCCAAGACTTTCAGCCCCCTTTGCCAACAAGACACCATTTGTATTGGCAGCCAGCACAAATAATGATGTTTGAGGCCTACTGAATTCTGTATTCAGTCAACTCAAATCAGGAATGTCATTTGAGGCCAGAAATCACAGAAGGTCACTATTTTACTTTCTGGAAGGTTTACCAATTCAAGGAAGTTGCTAAAGGGGCAAGGAGGCTGCATCTTCTGACCTCCTCTAATCCCACAAGAGGAAGACAGAATCACAATCAGTAGCCCAAGGCCTATTCCTGCCAGGCCACACGTGCTGCCTCCCTCCAGCCCTTTCACCAACCCTGACACCAACCATTCCTCCCACAGCACCCACCACCTCTCTGGTGGGTTTGATAATTCACTGCAGTGGCCACACAGAACTCACAGATTATGGGTTTATTAGGGAAGCAACAGGCTACAATTCAAGTTCAGGAACACATTCAGTCTCTCTCATCCTGCTGTCTCTCAGCTGACAGTCTCTCTCAGTCTCTCTCCCAGCAGTACATGTCTCTCAGTATCTCTCTCAGCAGTGTATGTCTCTCACATCTCTCTCTCAGCAAGTATGTGTCTCTCTCACATCTCTCAGGAGCACATTTCTCTCAGCAGAACATCTTTCTCAGCCAGCAGTCAGAGAGACTCCTTCTGCCCCTAGGAGGGCTCCTTTTGAGCCTGGCAGAGTGACCAAACTAATCAATCCCAACATTAGAATTCTATACAGAGAGAACTTCCCAGAAAATTATTTTGTGCCGCTCCCAATAGAAATACCACAGGTACATAACTTTAACAATCAGGAGCTACTCAGTTGCTCACAGCAAATTCTACCATGGAGTTTACAAAGACTTATGGTTAGAAAACCCACACTATGTGATTTACTAAACTGCAGAAGTCCCTTCAAATCTCTAGAGATCTGGGGAATAAGAGTGCCTCTGTGATCTCACTTACCTTGCAGGTCCTATCCATGTCTTTAAAAGGGCCAGCACTAGGAGACCTGCAGTGGTGGCCTGACCATAGTCACTCAAGCTCAAGCATCTCCATGAAAACCAGACGTCCCCTCTTTCAGCCAAAATATCAGGGACTTAGGTAGGGAAGCTGGACTTGGACTCTAAAGATAGGAAAAAGGAGATTAAGACCTCTGATAGGGGTTCCCATGAAACCCTCTTGGGCAGTGGGTCCTAAGTCATCCAATGAAAACTCCAAGCCTCAAGGAAAGGCCACTTAAAACTGGAGCAAAAACTGTAGATGGTCAGACCAACCAGGATTCTGGGAAGTCTTTCCAAATCACAGGTATTACATGGATCTAACATCAACAACCACTCACAAACCAAGAAATGTCCTGAGAACAAAGAGAGAAAACCCAGGGAGGTTGGAACAAATGATTCTCAAAGTCCATGGCCTTTTCTGCATCCTCACTGCCTCAGAGTGGTTTCCAGATTCTACCAGTCAAATAATAACCCTAATCCAGATACTTGATGTGGATTTACTTTCTTCTGATGACATTTTGTGTCCTGTAAATGTAGCGAGAAGGGAAGCTGATGAAAATACTCATCCTATGAAATTTAAGACAATTTAAATAATATGTTTACCCTTGCTTAACAGCAGCCTGGATTCAAGATGATGTCATGGCCTAGCATCTTCCACATGTATACCTTGGCCACAGTGGTCCAAAGGGTGTGAAAAATCTCCTCCTCAGCATCAGAGTAAAGAAATTTGTTTCATCAAGATTTCACTCTCTCCAATTTAGGATATGTATTTGTTTCTTAAGTGTTACATAAAAAAAGCCAGCTGCTAAATTATATGTGTACCATAATTGCAACTATCAAAAAGTGTAAAACTCAGATGCATGGTGAAAAAAAAAAAAAACTAAGATACAAACAATGGTTGTTATATCAGTGATTATTTTTTCATATTCTCTATTTTAAAAACTTTCTGCAAAATGGTAAATTACTTGCAGAAATGAAAATTTTTAAAGTTTAGTGTTTTGGTTTTTTTTTTAACTTTAAGAAAAAAAAAATTTAAGATAAAAAATGCATCAGTCATACAGTTTGCAGGGCATGGTATATGGGGAGGTACAAACTAAAAATAAGACACTGAAGAGATTTCCAGTCTAGTGGGAAGACAGATAGGCAAGGCAATAAGTATAATTATAACATAAGGGCTGTCATTCGGTGCGACCTGTGTGCACCAAGTACCTACTCTGTGTCAGATCCTGTCTTGTGTACTGGGGTTGAGACTTGGTCCCTTCTCAAGGTCCTTATGATCTGGAGGAGGAGACACATCCCTAAGAAAACCCCCATCTACTGTGAGAAGTTCATCGAATCAGATCCAACTCATAGCGACCCCTCCTTGGGTTTCTGAGGCAGTATCACTACAGAAGTAGACTGCCCAATCTTCCTTCCAAGAAGTGGCTGGTGGGTTTGAACCGCCAGCCTTCTGGTAAGCAGTCAAATGCCTTAGGCAATACAAAGATGAATATACAGTGATGATAGAATTTGGGAGGAAAGGAAGGGCAGTGGTCAAGGGTACTTTTCTCCCCCAGCTTCTAGCTCAGGTAAGTTCACCAGCTGAAGCACAGAATAGGAGGAGCCAGCAGGTTCAGAAGGAAGCCAATGGCTCCACTTTGGATATCTTTGAGGTATCCATGGACTGTCCAGTAAGAAGTTCCATGGCAAGTTCACCATTTGGAGGAGAGATCTGTGTCTGAGTCGTCACTGCATAGATTCAACCACTAAAAGTTATGAGTGTTCAAAATCATTTGTGGGAAAAGGGAGGGGCACAAGGTTTGCTGGTCTGATAGAGCCTGGTGGAACCCCTGAGATTATGGCCCCTCACTGCCCTTCAGGTCTGGAATTGAACCCACACCTGTGGCTTCCAGCCAAACAAAAGGCAGGCATATGAGTTGAACATTTACATTAGGTAGATACCCTCCTTGGAGAGAACGATCATGGGAGAAAGAAGGGCTGCTTATGCACAGGGAGACAGCTCAGGGAGCAGGAGTGCATGGAGGGATGGACACAGGGAAGAGGTAACTATGGGGAGGAAGCAGGAGGGGAGCTGTTGCATTGTGGTAAATTGTGGTCAATGTCATGAGACAAAGTGTATGTGAACTACTGTATGGAAAGTGAATTTGCTCTGTAAATTTTCCCCAAAATCACAATTAAAAAAAAAAAAAAAAAATCATGAGTGTTACAGAGACCGAGTCAGGCCCAGTGAGAAGCAGGCTCAGCATGGCGCTGCAGGAAACCTCCCAGTGAATGAAGAGGCAGCAGAGAAAGAGGAACTAGCAAAGATGTGCTACTAAAACACTAAAAATATAAAGGGGGTGGCGTGGGGTGTGTGAGTATATGAAGGCCAGAGATACTCATTCCAACTGTGGTTCTCTGGGAGGAGTTCTAGAAGCAACAGCAGGTTAGCTGGATGATGAATGAGACTTCAGCAGTGGAACCGGAAAGGGCCTCCAAGGGGTGAAGAAATTATGGGCAAAAAGGCCCAGAGGCAGTCTCAGAGAGCAAGGATTCTTTGAAAAAACACCTGCAAACTGCTTTTGTTTTACATTCTCTCTCCCTCTCTCTCTTCTTTCCTTTCCTCTCCACCCCCCCTCCCATCACAAAGATCACTGAATCAGACTAAACAAGAGACTAGCCTCTTAAGGAGGATTCATTATTTCCCCTCATTGAGCCACCTAAAATTGAGCCATCAGCACCCATAACTGGCCAGGTCCCTAGGCTGGGAGAAATGGCAGTGACCAAGGCAATGCCATACACTCCCACCGTACCACACACCTCCCTCGTCAGGGCCAGTCCTGCCTCCCATCCGTTTAGACCCTGTTTGCTCTTTTGTAGAAACGAGGCCTGGAGAACACCCTGCATGATGCGAAGCACTGGCATGACATGGAGCTCCAGAACCTGGGCACCGTGGTGAGCAGGCTGGAGGCAGAGCTCAGGGAGATCCATGAGGAGGCAGAGCAGCAGTGGAAGGAGCAGGAGCACCTGCTGGCGCACACAAGCCAGCTGCAGAAGGATGTGGCGTCCTACCATGCCCTGCTGGACAGGGAGGAGGGCCGGTAGTGTGCTTTCTTCTTTAATTATAAAAGGAACACACACCCATGGTTTTAAAAATAATTACTTTTTCAAACTCTACAGAAGCATATGAAGAGCCCGTGGGTGGCCAGCAAAAGGTTAAGCCAGGAGAGGACAGGTTGGCTGTTTGAACCTACCTAGAGGCACCTCGGAAGAAATGCCTTGGTGACCTGCTTCCAAAGGATCGCCTTCGTGTAAACCCTGTGAAGTACAGTTCTATTCTGCACATGTGGGGTCAATATGAGTTAGAATTAACTCTGTGGCAACTGGTTAGTTTGTTTTAATAGACACAATTAAGGCCAAAAGGAGAAAACACCCCAATTTTCTCACATACACACATACACATTCCCACAACTTAGCTGTGTCTGCCCAGGATTTTTCAATTCAAGTACAAATATACATAGTCATAAACACACATATACTATACATACATACATAGCATCTATTAGGAACATTTTTAGGTGCACATAATAGCACCTAATTAAAGCCAGTTCTCCTAAAACTTTAATATGCAATTAATTAATTAATATGAATTTCCTGGGCTTCATTCCAAAATGTAGATTCTGCTTCAGTAGGGCTGGGGTGGGGCCTGAGAGCCTACTTTTTTTTTTTTTTTTTAAACATTTTATTGTGGTTTGGGTGAAAGTCTACAGAGTAATTGACAGCCTGCATTTTTGATAAGCTCCCAGGAGATGCAATCTGAGTAGCAACAACACAAATCATATTTATTCAGAGTCCCAGAAGTAAGTGGTCTAGGGCTGCTCAATGATTTCATGAAGGAGCCTAGCTCTTTCTTTTTATCTTTCTGATATGCCACCCCTGATATGTTGGCTTTTTGTCTACATGTTGGCACCTCATGGTTACCAAATGCCAGCCACAGCTCCAGACATCACATCCTTATTCATGGCAAGTGGGGGGAAAAGGCTTTAGCAAAAGTTTTTCCCTGAGGAGTTCTCTCCTTTCATCAGTGAAGGATAAACTTTTTGAGAAGTCCTTCACAGGATTTTTCTTTAGATCTCATTGACCAGATTCTGATCACATGACCACACCTACCTGCAAGGGAGACTAGGAAAAGCAACCATTTGGCTTTTCCAGACTCTCTAGTGGAGGCAGGCAGTTGGGTTGGCCAAACAGAGAATCTGCCACAAATATATATATATATATATAGGAGCTCTGGTAGCATGGTAGCATAGTGCCTAAGGCATTTGACTGCTAACCAGAAGTTCAGCAGTTCAAACCTACCGGCCATTCCTTGGAAGGAAGGTTGGGCAATCTAATCTACTTCCATAATGATACTTCCTGGGAAACCCAAGGAGGGGTCTCTATGAGTTGGATCCAACTTGACAGCAGTGAGTTTGATTTTGGTGTGTTGTTGTTGTTATATGCCATGGAGTCAGCCCTGACTCATAGCGACCCCTCCTTGGGTTTCCGAGGCGGTATCACTACGGAAGTAGGATTGCCCAACCTTCCTTCCGAGGAGTGGCT